TACCAACTTAGCAGACGCCTGTCCCGTGGCTGACCTTGCAGAATATCCCCACAGGAAGTACCTGTGGCTCCTAGGCAGCCTCAAGAGTGACCCGGCCTGTTGGCAAGTGCCTCATTCTCTCTCTCTCTCTCTCCCTCTCTCTCTCTCTCCCTCCCGCCCTCCCTCCCTCCCTCTCTGATATATATATCAGAGAGGAAGCGAGAAGGAGAGATAGAAACATCAATGATGATAGAGAATCACTGATTGGCTGCCTCCCGCGTGCCTCACACTGGGAATTGAGCCCACATGTGCCCTGACAGGGAATCAAACCATGACCTGATTCATAGGTCAATGCACAACCATGGAGCCACGCCAGCCAAGCAAATGCCTCATCTTTAGCCTTTGCTCCAATAACTGCTGCTTCCTCTAGCAGATGGGACATTTCCTCTCTTTCCTTCACTCTTGCCCCTTTGAGTGACCTCTGGGTGTCCTCAGGCATCTTTCCTACAGACAGGGCAGCCCTGCAGTCTGGAAATGGGGCAGGAGACAGCCCTGACCATCCAAGGCCCAGCCTTTTGCATCTCAAAGCTGAGCTCCGACCCCAGGGCAGGCAGGACCTGGAGATCAGGGTCCTGGATGGTAAAAACTTCAATTAGAGTTCAAAATGTCCTAATTCCCTCCGTGGTTATTTGCATTCCTTTTCACTTTGTTTCCTTGAGAAATAGAGCCTCTGGGCTTCTCTCCGGGGAAGGGAGGATAAAATTTAACTGGATTTGCTGTAATGTCCTGCTAATCTTCAAAAACGTATAAAATCACAAGGCTAAAAACACGGATTCCAACTAATTGTGATACAAAGCAAAGGTACATTGTAAACACACTTAATTTCAAAATATGTAAGAGGTAAGAGACCACATAAATGGTCTCTTACCTCTTTCATATATAATTTATTTTTGTGAAACATCCATAATGGCAAATTTATGTAGACAAAAAGATTAGTGGTTGTTTAGGGCTGGGTGTGAGGGATAGAAAGATAGATAGCTAATAGGTACAGAGTTGTTTTTATCCTTATTGAAAAGTGAGAATATTTTTTTCATTGATTTTTGTAGAGCGGAAGGGAGAAGGGGAGGAGGGCGCAAGAGAGAAACATCATTGGTTACCTCCCACTTGTGCCCTGACCAGGGCCTGGGATTGAACCTGCAACCAAGGCATGAGGTATGACTGGGAATCAAACCCTCAGCCCTTCAAGGGATGGTGCTCCTACCACTGAGCACCAGCTTGGGTGGGTACAGTTTCTTGATGAGGTCATTCTGCAAGGAACTCAGCCTCATTGGAAATAACAGGAAGAGTTGACAAACTGGAGAAGAGAAAGAAACTGGCCATAGTTCACACAGTTTGTAGTCAAGGCACGCGGTGGAGGGTGCTCCACTGAGCCTTTGTGACAGGATGAGGTCGGTGAATGCTCACTTCCCTATCAACGTCTCTGTTCAGGAGAGTGGGCTCTTGTTGAAATCTGATAATTTTTGTTTAAAAAAAAAAAAAAGTCTAGGGGTGGGGGGAGATAAAATCTACCCGTAGTGTTCATATAGGGCCAAGCATTGTCCGTTCAATATATCCCTCCCAAAAAGTTAGTGGCATTGAACTTGTATCAACCTCAGCTGCTTAGATTCAGCAAGACACCGCAGTTAAACACCAAGGATATCAGGAAAATGTTAGATGTTATCTCTCTCTCTGGAAAAGAAACCAACCAGCGAGCCCATGTATAAGATCTAAGAGTTGTCTAGCTGCAAAGAAGATGGTAGATGACTCTCAAAACCGACTTGTCATATTTTAAAAATGCAATGACATTTCTCTATTGGGAAAAGTGTAAAAGGAAGTCTAAACTTGTCTTCCAGTCAGCTGAGCATCCTGTGACTTGCTTCTGGTGCCGAAGGCAGTAACCCTACCATCTCTGCAGGGATATTGTGTTTTGCTGCATCCCTCCAGCAGGGGGAGCACAGTCTATTATTTCTTGTCCTACACACCAGAAGGTCCTTTCAGTGCAGGGCAATCTGGGGAAGAAGTGATGCGCCATCAACAATGGTAAATGTAGTTTTGCATGTGTTACTTTGGGTAAGTCACTCCACCTCTCTAAGTTTCCTCAACTGTGGCAGAGAAAGAATAACTCCATTTGGAGCTGTAGATGCCAGCTAATGTGGGCTACTGTTATCACTGTCATCAAGCAGTAGAAATCCAGTTGGTGCCCCCACGTGCCCCAGATCACCTTTACCCAAGTGACACCCGGTGGGGTGAGGGCCCGCATCATTGTGGTTTGAGAACAAGGAGGCGTATCTGATGCCAGAGACTCACAGCTTAGCTCAGGCCAGGCAGCCAGGACTCCAACTCAGGCCCCTGCTACAAATGTGGTAGCAGCTGCTGAACCAGGAGGATGGAGAAAGGAGAGGTTCCTTCTGACTGAGGAGACAAAAGAGCTGGCATCTGGACTAAGCTTGGAAAGATGGCTCAGAGAGTGGGAGGAAGCATGGCAGCCTCCGAGACAAGCCTGGAAAAGTGTTTCTGGGCCAGAGGAGCAGGTGCACCAGTTAGAACCCCCCTGAGGGATGGGGAAGGTACAGAAAAGTGACTTAAGGCAGACTTATACTGACATTAAGAAAGTCCAGCCGAAAGCGGTTTGGCTCAGTGGATAGAGCGTCGGTCTGCAGACTGGAAGGTCCCGGGTTCGATTCCAGTCAAGGGCATGTACCTTGGTTGCAGGCACATCCCCAGTAAGCTGATTAATGATTCTCTCTCATCGTTGATTCTAACTCTCTATCCCTCTCTCTTCCTCCCTGTGAAAAACCAATAAAATATATTAAAATAAAATAAAAAAAGAACATCCAAATCTGTAGAGAATTTGAACCAAAACAGATGACAATTGCCAGAAAGCAAGATCCCCAAAGCTCCAGAGAACGACAGTTTTGCAGTTTCTTCTGTGCATTTGAAGTTAAGGATGGAATGTAAGGAAAATTACATGAAGGTGGGAAAAGGCAAGAAGGGGAGTGGATGACAGGATAATTAACAATTATGTGCTCTCTTGAGGGTGGTTATACTTATTTCAGAGGTGTGTTAACCTACACACACGAAAACAGTGGACAGGGCTTGTTTAAGGCAAAGATGAACTTTTTTTTTTTTTTAATAAATCTTTATTGTTCACATTATTACAAATGTTCCTCTTCCCCCCCCCCCTCCATTGCTCTCCTCCACCAGGTTCCCAACCCACCCTCTGCCCTTTCCCCACCCCCCATTGTCCTCATCCATAGGTACACAGTTTATGTTCAGTATCTTCCCACATCCCCCTCTCCCCTTTTCCCCAAGAATAAACAGTTCACTCCCCTTCCATACCTATGATTATATTATATTCAACAGTTAATATTGTTCATCAGATTTTTTTAAATTTCCTTGGTTTTTAGATTCACTTGTTGATAGTTATGTATTTGTTGTTCATAATTTTTATCTTTATTTACTTTCTCTTCCAAAAGAACCCCCTTCAGCAATTCATATAATTCTGGTTTGGTGGTGATGAACTCCTTTAGCTGTTTTTTATTAGTGAAGCTCTTTATCTGGCCTTTGATTCTGAGTAATAGCTTTGCTGGGTAGATTATTTTTGGCTGTAGGTTACTATTCATCACCTTGAATATTACTTGCCATTCCCGTCTGGCCTGCATGGTTTCTGTTGAGAAATCAGCTGACAATTGTATAGGTGCTCCTTTATAGGTAACTACCTGCTTTGCTCTTGCTGCTTTTAATATTCTTTGTCTTTTGCTCTTGGAATTTTAATTATGATTTGTCTTGGTGTGGTCCTCTTTGGATTCCTTTTGTTTGGAGTTCTGTGGGCTTCCTGGACTTGTAAGTCTAATTCTTTCACCAGGTGGGGGAAGTTTTCTGTCACTATTTCTTTCAGTATGTTTTCGATATCTTGCTTTCTCTCATCTTCTGGGACCCCCATAATTCTGATGTTGTTTCACTTGAAGTTGTCCCAGAGGTTTCTTAAATTATCTTCAATTTTCTGGATTCTCTTGCCTTCTTGCTTCTGCGGAGGAGTGTCTTCTGGCTCTTTATGTTCTAAATCTTTGACTTGATTCTTTCGATCTTCCATTCTGTTTTTAGGACTCTGTATAATATTTTTTATTTCAGACAATGTATTCTTTATTTCTTGTTGATCCCTTATTATTTCTTGTTGATTCCTTATTAATTCTAGTTGATCCCTTTTCATATCCTCATAGGCCTTATCGACCTTTTCTAGGAAATTCTTGAAAAACCTTATAAGCGTAGATTTGAACTCTATATTCAGTCGCGTTTTGTCCTCCATTTCTTTCGTTTGTGATCTATTTTGTTGTCTCGGCATTTTCGCAGAGTTTCAGGGTGGAGCCTACAGCCAGGCTTCCGTCAGCCCTGCCCTATGCGGCTCCTGAGACTCAGTATTTCCCAGGGTCCTTCAGTATTCTCTGAAAGCACTTCTGAGAGAAAAGTGCCCTCGATTTTTGCCTGCTACCAAACAGTCTAGGCTCTCCCCCAATGAGCCCGGAACTGGGGTTCAGTTCAGTTGGAAGTGGAGTCGGAGGTGGCGTTCAGAGCAGTCTGGAGCCCCAGTCTCCTTCCTGCCAGGGCAATCCCGCTGCACAGCCAACCGTCCCTTCTCTGTGTGCAGTGTGCACGCCTCCAGGGGCTCTGCCTTTCGCGGCTCCCCCAGGGTTCTGCCTTACAGCCCAGCTCCCTATGGATGAGCCTGGGTCCTGGGGTCTGGCCTAGAACTGGGGTTCAGCGCTGTCGGGTCTGGGGTTCAGCACAGTCGGGGCTTTTATCTCCTTCCCACTAGGGAACGCCAGTCAGGCACTCAGCCTCCCTCCTCTCCGGCTCCGTCCTCTCCGCGTGCGCTGCATGTCTGCGTACCTTAGGCTTTTCCAGCTCCTCCGCTCTTCCTTCTGGTTTTCTCCTTGCTTCTCGTTGTAGAATTTCCAGTCAGTCGACTTTCCTGTAGTTCTGGGTAATTTTAAAATGGACATTTTATATTTTAGTTGTATTTTATTGAAATTATTGTGTGCGGCTGCGGCTAGGTGTTTAGGCTGCAGCCATCTTGGATTCTCCCAATCTTTTTTCACGTGGCCCAATTTTCAATATGTCCTCCTGCAGCAGCAGGATATGGATTTCTTTAAACAGCACCAAGGAGCTCTTTGGTTTTGGCCACAGAGGTGAGAGAAGATAGGGAACCTCATCGTTCAGAAAGCATTGCAGTCAGTCACCTGTGATGTGCTGCTGCTGCGACTCTAAGCCCTCGACCTTCAGAGGTCTCCCTGGGCCACAGTGGCTAGCCTGCCAAGCAGAAGAGAAAGCATCACCTTTGATTTGTTTGTTCATTTCAACACTCCCCTAGGCTTTTGATTTTCCTACTACCTTATGAGTGCCAAGGCTAGAAATGAAATGCCACCGGGACTGGTCAGATGAGGCACCTAAAAATGGTACACTGCAGATTCAGGCACGGATTCCACCCAGGAACAACATCTAAACCCAGGGCAGCTGTTGCAGCACCCAGCTCATCTGAAGGATTTCAATTATTAGTCATGCAATAAATGTTCTTTTTTTAAAAAGCAAGCAGACCGGTTTGGCTCAGTGGATAGAGCATCAGCCTGTGGACTGAAGGGTCCCAGGTGCAATTCCGGTCAAGGGCACATGCCTGGGGTTGCAGGCTCAATCCCCAGGCCGATCAATAATTCTCTCATCATTGATGTTTCTATTTCTCTCCCTCTTCCTTCCTCTCTGAAACCAATAAAAATCTATTTTTAAAAAAGACAGAAAACAACACCAGTTCCAAAGAGGCTTTGACACTGTGCCTGATATTGTTAGTTGGCTGAATGGAGCCTGTGATTCTTTTTCTTCAAGGTTCTCTGGGCACCTAGCAAAACTGGCTAACTCCAAATTCCTTATAATTACCTTAACTCCAATTTCATTCAAGTTATATTGCACAACCTAGTGTTTGCTCTCCCACTTGTATCTTATCTCAATTCACAACAGGTAATAAGTAGTCTTAGGAATTATAATTTGACAGCATCCTAGGAACCATCACCCTATACGTGTACTTACTAACCCAACAACCGGGTCCTTGTTGGTGACTAACTGGAAGGTTGACTAGTTCCAGAATCTCATTCTGAGGGGTGACTTTCTAGAGATGCTTCCAGTTGGGTCCTCTCGAATGCAGAGCCTAAGACAAAGGCCCTTGGACACAGGAAGTGATCCCATGAATGTGGTAGCAGGAAGAGTAAACGGAGAAGGAATAGTCAATAGCAGAGTGCATTATCAAGGTCACACCTGATCATACATGTCTTCCCAGAGTTGCCATTCCTCCGATGGCTCCTGGGTCCTTTTGGATGAGGTGTATCCAGGTTATTAATACCCATTTCACCCTCCACTTCTCACCTCCACTGAAGAAGCGGGATTTAGCGTTTTAGAGCCTGCTGAAATGGGATGCTGTTAGCAGGGGCTGAGCCTGAGCTTCCAGGGAGCTCATCTCTGGCTGAAATCAGAGGTTGCTGGGGACGTGGGATGTAGGGTGCCAGAGGTACCCACGACACCATGTGAACATTTCCTGTCGCCTCTCCTAGGGCCTTAGAAGAAGCTCTGGTGAGTGAGGGACCCTAACGCTTAAACTTCTAGCTCTGCCTCTGCAGGGAACTCACATTGGTCCCAGAGGGAATGATTGAGGAAGAATGTTTCACTCAAGTCAGCTCTACACACACGAGTTTGCCCTCCTCCCCTAGTCCCCTGCCTGCCACTCTGGAGTCTCGGGGTCTCTCTCTCTCAGGCACTTCCTACGTGGTCCTCTTCCCAGCCCTCGGGAATCCCATGGGTGGGGTGCAGGGCAGTCCGGAAGCATAGGCCTTGTCATGGGCTTTATCGGGATGTTGCTGAGTTTTAAGAGACCCTGTGTCAATTGCCTCAGTGAGATAAACTAGAATGAAGATGAAAAAGGCTGGAGTCAGCATCATGCACTCAGGAGGAAATGCCCTGGGCGCTCATCCGAGGACAGGGAGGAAACAGTCCCTCCAGGCCACTTCAGACTTCAGCTGTTCCCTGGAGGTGGTAGTGGCTAGCTCAGGCCAGGCCCCTGACCGATACTCGGAGGAAAGGCTCAGAATAAAGGCCGAGCTATAGACCAGTCCCCGTGAGAGTCGGAACTTGGTAACTTCCCCACCATATCTGATAGCTTGGTTCCTCCTTTCTCCTGCAGGGTTACTGGCAGGTGAGCTCTGAGAAGATAAAGAGCCGAAATCGGTTTGGCTCTGTGGATAGAGCGTCAGCCTGCAGACTGAAAGGTCCCAGGTTCCATTCCAGTCAAGGGCATGTGCATTAGTTGCGGGCACATTCCCAGTGGGGGGGGGTGGTGCAAGAGGCAGCTGATTGATTATTCTTTCTCATTGATGTTTCTAGCTTTCTATCCCGCTCCCTTCCTCTCTGTAAAAAACAAACAAACAAAGAACAAACAAACAAAAAAACAAACAAAGAGGACATCGATCTCATTCCCAGGGCAGGCTTGGGGGCCGGGAAGGAGAAGATTCCGCAGAGATAGGCGGGTGCTGGCCAGTGAGAAAGAGAAAAGGGGAGGCAGAGGAGAAGCTATGGGGAGGCGGGTGACCCAGGGAGCTGCACGGCTTCGGTGAAGAAGTGGGTGGAGGAAGGAGTGGCTTCCAGGCTGAGAAACCAGGAGCCGGCAGCTCTATTCAGAAAAAATAGGGAGGGGAGAAGTGTAGTTCCGTCCGGTAAAGGAGCAAGTTTATTGTTGATTTTTTCCAAATATGGCACCCCAGTAACAGAGAGCCAGGGAGGCACGTGTGATGTTTAGGCGTCAGCAGCACTGTCCTCACTTCAAGCTCACTGGACAGGAACGTAGCCCGAGGGAAGGATGGTTAAGGAGCAGGTGTAGGGTGAGCGGGGATGGTGGAAGAGAGAACTGTCGCTGGGAGAAATCTCAGGGGTAGCGAGGGGTTCAGAAAATGAAAGTTTACAGCGTGGAAATGAGCAAACAGAGGAAGGGAAAGACTAAGGTCAAGGAGGTGGCAGAGGTCAAGACTCAGTACGGGAAGGCCACTCACAGGCCGTGAAGTGGGATGGAGAAGGGCCTGAGCCAAGCGCCAAATTCCTCAGTGAACTTTGGGTGTGTGTGTGTGCGTGCGTGTGCGTGTGTGCGTGTGTGTGTGTGTGTGTGTGTGTGTTGGCAGTGCCCTGGAGGCCTAGGAATGGGAAGATAGAGACGTCTGAGCTGAGTTTGAAGAATGAGAGTTCTTGAGGAAGCATTAATTAGTCAAGGAGGAAGGGCTTCCAGAGAGGAAAGGGCACAAAGGCACGCAGGTGGGCGGGCGACAGGCCGGGACAGACCATGCGCTGGGAGTGTGGCTCTGCCCTCAAGGAGAGGAGGACCTGCTCCTGCCTCCTCTCCATCCCGCACTCCCAGTGGGGGCGTCTCAGAGATCTCTCCCTGAGGCAGGCTGAGCCTCTCAAACGGATGGAGATGCTCTCCAGGTATTTTTGAAGCCTCTCCCACATACGTTTAAAGTTTCCCTTCAGGCACTCCCCGAAGCGCTCCTCTGGACCTGCCCCCTGGAGCCTGGAAAGCGAAGAGCCCACCCAGCCCAGCTAGCCGCCCTGGCAGAGTGCGGGCGCCACATCCGCGTGAGGGTGTGCTGCCTGGCTGCGCACGCTCCTTCCCTTTCTCCTTTCTCTCCACCTTGTTTTCAGGAAACCTCTTCTTTTGAATCTGTTTCACCTCCTCTCTTGATTTCTTGATTTCTTTCTTTCTTTCTTTCTTTCTTTCTTTCTTTCTTTCTTTCTTTCTATCTATCTATCTATCTATCTATCTAGTATTGATTTTTACAGAGAGGAAGGTAGAGGGATAGAGAGTCAGAAACATTGTTGAGAGAGAAACATTAATCAGCTGCCTCCTGCACACCTCCCACTGGGTTGTGCCCGCAACCAAGGTACATGCTCTTGACCAGAATCACCTGGGACCCGTCAGTCCACAGGCTGATGCTCTATCCACTGAGCCAAACCGGTTAGAGCTTGATTTCTATCTTGAGGACAAGCAAGACCCCTTCGCCGGTGACATTTTCATCCGTTCTCTACCTGCCTTCCTTTCATCCATTCTCAATGCCAACAACTCCCGCATTCACATCTCCAGAGTCACGTATTTGTACACAGCTGCAGACTCAGGCAGGAAAGGAAACTGGCTGGTGGACTTTCCCCACCAGGGTCTGGTGTTCAGGTTCATAAATTTGGAAACTATTACGTCAGTGCTCTATTCTCCTCCTCCCCATTAGGCAGGAGCGGGGAACAAACTCAAAAAGAGTCCTGAGGCTTTGGCTTGAAATAACTGATAACGATTTGTCAATACCCAGAGTGCTTTGAAGAAGGAAGAAAAGCCAAGAGTTCTTATAAGAAAAAGTACATACTTGAGACGAACCAGTCCTGCATTCTTAGCCTCCGGATTGGTCTGGATCCTGGGCATCAGGTGGTCTGCATATGTGAACGTTCGTTCCTTAGTCCAGAGGGTAATCAGAGTTACTTGGAGGTCTTCTATACATCCAGGCATTGACTAGACTGGAAAGTTCAAAAGTGTAAGTTCCCAGGCTAGTTAAAGCAAGAATAGAATAATTTCCTCACGCTTCAACCTACTTAACTTCAGTAATTTTTAGCAGCTTGACTATAATGACTCCATTTCTTCAATCTTGCCTCAGTAGAAAATCATCTTGTACAGCCCGAGCTGGTTTGGCTTAGTGAGGGGAGTGCTGGCCTGCGGACTGGAGGGTCGTCCCGGGCTCTATTCCGGTCAAGGGCATGTACCTCAGTTGCAGGCTCTTTCCCTGACCCCAGCTGAGGTGTGTGTATGATGCAACCAATTTATGCTTTCTCTTTCTCTCTCTCTCTCTCCCTCTCCCTTTCTCCCTTTCTCCCTCTCTCCCTCCCGTCTACTCTCTCTAAAAGATCAACAACAGAAGGAACACTTCTAAACTCCTTCTATGAAGCCAGCATCACCCTAATACCAAAACCAGATAAAGACAACTCAATGAAAGAGAATTATAGGCCAATATCCCTCATGAACATAGATGCCAAAATCCTCAACAAAATTCTAGCAAATCGGCTCCAGCAGAGCATCACAAAGATCATACACCATGACCAAGTAGGATTTATTCCAGGAATGCAAGGTTGGTACAATATCCGCAAATCAATAAACGTGATACATCACATAAACAAATTGAAAGATAAAAATCATATAGTCATATCAATTGATGCAGAAAAAGCATTTGATAAAATCCAACACCCTTTCCTGATAAAAACTCTTAACAAGGTGGGAGTACAAGGATCATACCTCAACATAATAAAGGCTATATATGATAAACCCACAGCCAACATTATACTCAATGGGCAAAAACTAAAACCATTCCCTTTAAGAACAGGAACAAGACAGGGATGCCCACTCTCGCCACTCCTGTTTGACATAGTACTGGAAGTACTAGCCATTGCAATTAGACAAGAGGAGGAAATAAAAGGCATCCAAATTGGAAAAGAAGAAGTAAAGTTATCCTTATTTGCAGATGACATGATATTGTACATAAAAAACCCAAAAGACACCATTATAAAACTAATTGACTTAATAAATGAATTTGGCAGTGTAGCAGGATACAAAATTAATGCCAAGAAATCCATGGCATTTCTACACCAACAGTGAAACTACAGAAACAGAGACTAAAAAAGCAATTCCATTTACCATCGCACCAAAAAAATTAAGATACCTAGGAATAAATTTAACTGAGGAAGTAAAGGACCTATATGCAGAAAACTACACGACACTGAAAAAAGAGATAGAGGATGATGTAAGGAGATGGAAAAACATACCATGTTCATGGATTGGTAGGATCAACATCATCAAAATGTCCATACCTCCTAAAGCAATCTATAGGTTCAATGCACTCCCCATTAAAATACCAACGGCATATTTCACTGACCTACAAAGAACTCTCCAAAAGTTCATTTGGAACAATAAAAGACCCCGAATAGCCACAGCAATCCTGAGAAAGAAGGGTAAAGTAGAAGGGATCTCAATACCAGACTTCAAACTGTATTACAAAGCCACTGTTCTCAAAACAGCCTGGTACTGGCACAAGAACAGACATATAGATCAATGGAATAGAATCGAGAACCCAGATATCAACCCAAATCAATATGCTCAATTAATATCTGACAAAGGAGGCACGAATATACAATGGAGTCAAGACAGTTTCTTCAATAAATGGTGTTGGGAAAATTGGGCAGACACATGCAAAAGAATGAAACTAGATCACCAACTTACACCATTCACAAAAATAAACTCAAAATGGATACAGGACTTAAACATCAGATGGGAAACCATAAAAATACTAGAAGCATCTACAGGCAGCAAAATCTCAGACGAATGCCAAAGAACTTCTTCACTGATACTGCCCCTAGGGCAATGGAAGCTAAAGAGAAAATAAACAAATGGGACTACATCAAAATAAAAAGCTTTTTTTACAGCAAAAGAAACCATCAACAAAACAACAAGAAAGCCCACGATGTGGGAGAACATATTTGCAAATAACACCACTGATAAAGGTTTAATCTCCAACATCTACAGACAGCTGATACAACTAAATAAAAGGAAGATGAATGATCCAATTAAGAAATGGGCAATGGACCTAAATAGAATATTTTCAAAAGAAGACAGAAAGAAGGCCAAAAGGCACATGAAAACATGCTCAAAGTCACTAATTATACGAGTGATGCAAATCAAAACAACAATGCGGTACCATCTCACACCTGTCAGAATGGCCAACATCAACAAATCAACAAACGACAAGTGTTGGCAAGGTTGCGGAGAAAAAGGAACTCTCGTGCACTGCTGGTGGGAATGCAGACTGGTGCAACCACTGTGGAGAACAGTGTGGAGTTTCCTCAAAAAACTGAAAATGGAACTCCCATTTGACCCAGTAATCTCACTCCTAGGAATATATCCCAAGAAACTAGAAACACCCATCAGAAAGGATATATGCACCCCTATGTTCATAGCAGCACAATCTACAATAGCCAGAATTTGGAAACAGCCTAGGTGCCCGTCAGCAGATGATTGGATCCAAAAACTATGGTACATCTACACAATGGAATACTATGCTGCCATAAAAAAGAAGGAATTCTCATCATTTGCAGCAACCTGGATGGAATTGGAGAACATCATGCTGAGTGAAATAAGCCAATCAATGAAAGAGAAACACCACATGACCCCACTCATTTGTGGATAATAAAGATCATTATAAACTGATGAACCAAAAGATAGATATAGAGACAGTAAAGCAACAAGCAGATTGTCAAATTACAGCGGGGAGGGGAGGAGGATCTGGGGGAGATAATAGATCAACCGAAGGACTTGTATACATGCATATAAGTACAACCAATGGACATAAAACTCTGGGGAGGGAGGGAATGCGTGGGAGGGAGGGAAGGGGTAAAAAAAAATCAATAAAATATGTAAAAATAAATAAATGATTAAAAATAAATAAAAGATCAACAACAACAACAACAAAAGAAAATCAAGTTGCACAAACTAAATCTATAAAGGCTTGTGGGTAAATTGTGGAAACCCCTTTCACATCCCTCGTGATTCAGGGTCCTGGTTCTGGTTCTGAAGAAGGCCGCACACAAATGAAAAAAGACTTGAAAAGCACTGATTTGGGAAATGGGGGCCAGGCGGTAGTCCACCTCCAGTGGGAGACTACTCCTTGCTCTGGCTTTTCCATCCCTTTCATTAAGATTAAAGCTACAGGATACACCCATATCCCCTCGGCAGGAAACTCCAATAGAGCCAATCAGTGGCTTTAGGACTAACAGGTGGGAGCTGCTTCAATGTCTAGTGATTAGCTCTGACCCTTTGCCCTGCGGATTCCCTGTCCACAGCTCTCTATTATTAAAACAATGATCTGCTTCCGGCAGTAAATGAAAATTAAAATATAGGGACAGATAGACCTTTATTGATTTTTTAAAATATATTTTATTTATTTTTTACAGAGAGGAAGAGAGAGGGATAGAGAGTTAGAAACATCGATGAGAGAGAAACATTGATCAGCTGCCTCCTGCACACCCTCCACTGGGGATGTGCCCGCAACCAAGGTACATGCCCTTGACCGGAATCTAACCCGGGACCCTTCAGTCCGCAGGCCGACGCTCTATCCACTGAGCCAAACTGGCTTCGGCTGATTTCTTTATTTTGCTATTTGTGGTTTTTAAAGACCTATCGGCTTGATTCTGATTATAAAAATAATGCATGTCCAGGCGCACCCTCCCTCCGGGGAGCATGCCCTCACTGCCTCCCAGCTCCTCTTCCCCCACAGGCGTGGGCCCACTAAACGCCAAGGGACCCCACGAGACTTGCCACCAGGGAGCAATGGGAAGTGGCAGCTCTCCGGGACTAACCCCCTGAACCCGTCTTCAAGGCCCCCTTTTCTCTGGCTTCCCCGTGACTGACAGCAGCCCAGCCCTGGCTCACTTCTTTCACAGTGACGGCTCGCAGTGAGCCAAAGCAGCCCCAGCCTCTCTCCTGTTGCTTCTCCTGTCCCAGCCCTTCCTTGTTTCACTGTCCCCAGCTTTAATAAACGTTCTCTCGAAATAATAATAGCCCAGCTGGAGGGGCTTAGTGGTTGAGCATCGACCTATGAACCAGGAGGGCAGGGTTCGATTCCCAGTCAGGGTACTTGCCCAGTTTGCAGGCTCCATCCCCATTGTGGGGCTCACAGGAGGCAGTCAATGATTCTCTCACCATTGATGTTTCTGTCCCGCTCTCCCTCTCTTCCTTCCTCTCTGAAATCAATAGTGATGATGGTGATGCATGTTCATTATAGATTTTAAGAAATCAGGAAAGTATGAAGAACAACATGGAAATAATCTATACAACTTCAATAATAATAGATAACACTTTATTTGTGTGGGGAGCATGCTGGATATACTTTTGCATCCTACGTTCTCTTATCTTTATATTGTAAGCATTTTGGGGAAAGCCTTTAAATCTTGGCAGTTGCTAGAATATATTTTATTTTTACTGCCCCGGGATTCCATTGCTAGTATCAAGACCACTATCAGAAACTTGCTTAGGTAAGCATGAAATCAGAGCAAAAATGAAACGTAATTTTTTTTTTTTTAAAGTCAGGTAATTGTACGAACAATGATATCCAGACTGGGTTACCTGGGCCATCAGTCCCCTATCCTTGCAATCTTGGCCCCCAGGGTAGGGGTTTGGGGCCCCTGGTTCCTGGGACTGGAGTCCCCGCGGAGGGACCCACCAGGCACTGGGAAGACCTCGCCCGGGCTCACTGGGGTCAGACAGGCAAACGCAATGGGGTCTCATGGCGGCCTCTGAAGAAACAGGTCCGGGTGGGAGTTGGGGGATCTCGGCCTTTTGCGAGGTCTCGCTCTGGCCCGCGGCCCTGGCCCGGCCACCCGGGGCAGAGCAGTCCGGGAGGGCGGGGCGCAGGCAGTGTCCCCGGGAAGGTGGAGAGGGGTTAGGGGGGCGGGGCGGGGCGGGCACCTTTCGGGGTTGGAGGCTCGAGGTTCCTCTTCCCTGAAGTCCAGCCTCGGGGTCCCCACAGCCCTCGGGCAGCGCCGGTCTCCTCCAGGCCGGGCACCGCCTTAAGCCAAGAACGCGCCTGAGGCTTAAGCCGGGACCCGTGGCCCCGCCCCTCCCGCCAGGCCCCCCCACCCCGTGCCGCACTCTCTAAGTCCCGTTCCGGTCACGCCCCACCCCTAGTAGGCCCCGCCCCTTTCCCCCCTAGGCCCGGCCCCGCCCCCTCGGGCCCCGCCTCCCACGCGGCGCCCCCTGCACCCGGAGAGCGGAGAGCGGAGAGCGGCGGGAGGGCGCGCGGAAGCCATGGCGCGGCGGGCGGCGGGGCTCTGGGCGCTCGGGCCGCTGCTGTGGGGCTGCGCGCTGGCGCTGCGGGGCGGGATGCTGTACCCGCGGGAGAGCCCGTCGCGGGAGCGCAAGGAGCTCGGCGGCCTCTGGAAGTTCCGTGCCGACTTCTCCGAGAACCGGCGGCAGGGCTTCGAGCAGCAGTGGTACCGGGCGCCGCTGCGGGAGGTGCGGGCGCCGGGGGCGGGGAGTCCCGGGGAGCCCGCGGGGCTGCGGCCCGGAGGGGTTCAGGGTAACCGGCTTGGAGAGGTGGGGGCAGGGGGATCTGCGGTCGCGGAAAGGCTGAAGAGCCGAGGGCAGACCGGAACCGAAAGTCTGCGGGGCGGGCGCCCACCCTCCCGGGGCGGGAAGGGCCTGGTCCAGCCCGGCCAGTGGGGTGGGCCGGGCCGAGCCGGGCGGGCAGCGGGAGGAGGGAGGGCAGCGGGGGGAGGGCGGGCGTCGGACTCCTCGGGACCAGCTCTGCCCTGGCCGGCAGGACCGCGGGTCCAGGTTGAAGTAGAGGTCCAGCCTGGGACCCCCCCAGGTCTCCCCTCTGCCTGGAGTCGGGTCAGCCAGAAGTGGGCTGGGACTAGCCTGGGTACCTCTCCAGATCCTATTTTGGGGGTTGCAGCCCAGCATTCAGCAGGGAAGGAAAAAAAGGAAGTGGCGGTGGAGGGGTGCTGGGTGCCAGGCATGTGCCCCACTCACAGTTTCCCCAGCGAAGCAGCCCCTGCATGGCCCGCCTTCCTCTTGGGGCGGCCAGTCAGTTATCTTCCTCTTGTTCTCTGGGCGCTGCCGATCGATCCTCCTTTCATTCAGGCTGCGCTGTCCTGGGCCACCTCTTTCCCTGGTGCTGGAGACCCTATTGCTGGTGGCCTTGAGAAAGCACTGGCCCCACCAGTCCTTGGACACAAACCATCCTAGCAGGCGATCCCTGATCTGCAAGTTATCCATCCATCCATTCAGCCAGTATTTATCCGGTTCCAGAGCTTGTGTCAGACCCTGGGGATAGAGCTGTGAAGGACTGAGGAAATCCCCTGCTTAGCGGTCCCACCTCCCACATCCACGCTGTCCTTAGGAAAGCCAGGCTGTGTCCGGCTCACTGAGCTCTCCGCCTCACTCCTGCCCTGCCTTGGACCCGAGGTGTCCACGGGATTCCCGGCCGGGCGGGCGCAGGCTCACCCAGTTCCCCCAGGTCGTCCTGAGGCCGTATCCCCTTGGCCCTGGCCCCAAAAGGCCTTCCCCGACCCCTAAGATGGTCCCCTGCCCCTGTCAGCGTGCTCTTCAGAGAGCTGCCCGCCTGCCCGCAGAGGCCTGCTCACCGCTGTCTCCCTGGTGCCCAGAACAGCACTGCAGGTGCTCCCTGCACTGTCCACTGAGTGAGTGAGTGGCTCGTGTCCACATCATGGAGCTGTGAAAATGAAATGAGCTCTGTAAAAGACATTGGTCAGTTGCTGGCAGAGAATCACAAATGGCGAGGCGGCCTGGACTTCCGGGGTCTGAAGACAGGGCTGCAGGGGAACCTGGCCTCTGGGGAAGGGGGCTGCCTGGGCCCCGTCTCAGATTCCCGGGTGGTCTGGACCTGATCCCGGCCCTTCCTTCCCCAGTCGGGTCCCACCCTGGACATGCCTGTCCCCTCCAGCTTCAATGACGTGGGCCAGGACGGGCGGCTGCGTGGCTTTGTCGGCTGGGTGTGGTACGAACGAGAGGCAGTGCTGCCCCAGCGGTGGACCCAGGACACGCACACGAGAGTGGTGCTGAGGATCGGCAGCGCCCACTACCATGCCATCGTGGTCAGTATGGCGAGCAGCAGGCAGGGCGAGCGGGCAGGCGCGGCCGCTGGGCACGCACGGGTCTTCCTTGGGTGCCTGACTCCCAGCTCTCACCCGACAGGCTGTCTTCTGGGGTGGGTGGGGGGAAACGCTCATGCCCCACATTGGGGCGGGTTGTCTGATCTCCATTGGTGCTCCATTCCTCCCATCAGGCTGGTGAGGCGGGCAGACGCGGGCAGGGCGCCTCTGTGTGAGGGGTTTCTGAGATGGCAGTGGCCCTTCCTTCCGGCCCCCTCCCCCCTATTTTCCTGTGTCCGCAGTGGGTGAACGGGGTCCATGTGGCCGAGCACGAGGGGGGCCATCTTCCGTTCGAGGTTGACATCAGCAAGCTGGTCCAGGTTGGGCCCATGTCCTCCTGCCGCATCACCATCGCCGTCAACAACACGCTCACCCCCCACACCCTGCCGCCGGGGACCATCGTCTACGAGACCGATACCTCCAAGTGAGCGGAACCTGCTCCCCATTCCAGTCCCCACCCTGCCCGTGGCCTTCCCTCCTGCCTTAGCGGAAGTGAGGGGAGGGCCTCAGGGCAAGACCCCAGTCGGCCACTGTCCTCCCCCTCTAGGTACCCCAACAATTACTTTGTCCAGAACACACACTTTGACTTCTTCAACTACGCGGGACTGCACCGGCCGGTGATCCTCTATACCACGCCCACCGCCTACATCGATGACATCGACGTCACCACCAGCGTGGACCAAGGCACCGGTGAGGGCTCCGGCAGGCTCTTCCCTCCCCCAGCCTCAGAGTGGCTCTGCTCCCAGCTTTGAAAGATGCTGCAGGAGAAAGGCTCTTCCTGCATTTCTTAACCCTCACAGGGTCCCCTTTACCTAAGGAGCTAAAATCCAGCCTGTGTAAGCTGGGAAGGGCTTCTGAAATACCATCTGGCCTGACCTCATTTTATGAGGAAATAAAGCCCATTGAGAAATGGGCTTGCCTAAAATCACATCACTCAGGCTACATGGAGATCCCATGTCCCTTCCCCACTGTGCTGCCCTCAGTCCCCTCACTGCAGGTCAAGCTCAGAAAATAAACAATTGTTGGCTGGGGTCTCGGTGGTGGCTTCAGGGTCCTCCCACCTGTGTGACCCAGATCACATCTTTCCTTCTCTTTTTTCTGATCTCTTGTTTTCCACTCCCACAGGGCTGGTGTATTACCAGATTTCCATCCAGGGCAGTGAACACTTTGAGCTGGAAGTATTCCTTTGGGATGAGAAAGGCAATATTGTGGCCCAGGGGTCTGGAGGCCGCGGCCAGCTGCAGGTGCCCAATGCCCACCTCTGGTGGCCATACCTGATGCATGAGCACCCTGCCTACCTGTACACATTGGAGGTAATGGCAGTTAAGACTGAGGCTGTGGGAGGCCTTCTGCCCTCTTCCAGCAACCTTACCTGGCTTTAGCAGGTGATTGGACAGATGGACTGGCAGGTATGGGCCTCTGAGCTTCCTAGTCAATTGGACTGAAGCATTCTCAGCCCAAGTTTTTTTCAACCCTGGATGGGGCAGCCCAGATTTGAAGAGCAGGCTCGAGGGGCAGGTGCCGGTGGCCTTGATCCAGAATCTAGAAGGGTTCAGAAATCTGGAAAAGGCGCTGTGTGTAAATAAACAAGAGTCCAGAGACAAAACATAATTTTGAAAGGCATCATGGGAAGTCAGAGGAGCTTGGCTAAAGAAACCAAGTTCTCTTTGTCTCAGGACCCCTCGCTTTTTATTAACACAATTTATCCTAAGGCAAGGTGGAGATATACACATGGAAGGCTAGGGTTTAGTTCACAGAATCCATTGTCAGATTGCTGAAACTACCTCCAGCTGTTCAGGTGTTTGGCCAGGAGGAGGCAGAAACATGTAGATTAAGATGCCCTGAGCTGTCTGGCAGCAAGCAGACATCCTTTTCAGATTTGGGGAAATGCCCTCAGCAATCTCCAGATGATTCAGCCCTGCTGACAGGCTGGAATTGGCTTCCGGCAGGAAGGGTGGGGAAAGGTTCTTCCTTGCTAATGGCAAGAGCCTGTAATTTCCCAGTCTCTCTGCATGTGTCCCAGAGGTGGGCTGCTGTGGTTTTCACTGGCCGTTCTGCTGCTGGGCGCCTGTGTGGGACTCGGCCGTTAAGGATGCCTCACTCCAGTGCCTTGTGCAGGGCCTGGATGAGGCTGGTTGACCTGTTTGGAAATGTCTTTTGTGTGAAGTGTATCTTTGGGCATGTGGAGGTATTATTGATCTGAGAAAATGCTAAGTAACTGATTTACTATCTGAAAAGGGATTTACTATCGGGGAAAGGGAGGGAGGAAGAGACTGAACATAAACTGTGCACCTATGGATGAGGACAATGGGGGAGGAGAGGGGGGCGGAGGGTGGGGTGAGAACCTGGTGGAGGGGGGAAGAAATGAGGAACTTTTGTAATAATATGAACAATAAAGATTGATTAAAAAAAAAAAAAAGGATGCCTCACTCCAGTGCTTGGCTTTCATAGGCGAGGCTGACTGTGCAGACGGCAGCTGGGGACGTGTCTGACTTCTACTTGCTCCCCGTGGGGATTCGCACTGTGGCTGTCACCAAGAACCAGTTCCTCATTAACGGGAAGCCTTTCTATTTCCGTGGGGTCAACAAGCATGAGGATGCAGACGTGAGTTGGGGCTCCCGGGTCCCTGTGGGGCTGTTCCTCATCTTTACCTTCCCCGTGCCCCTGCAGTGGCTGAGGGCAGCTCAGAGCAGTTAAGCAAACTGCTCAAAACTGCTGCCTGATGGGGTCCGTGCACGGCTGGGTAGAGGGCCGACGGGCCCAGCTCTGGAAGGAAGTGCACCAGGGCAGGAGGCAGGGACCACTCTAGTTTGCTGTCCTCTAGATCCGAGGGAAGGGCTTCGACTGGCCGCTGCTGATGAAGGACTTGAACTTGCTTCGCTGGCTTGGTGCCAACGCCTTCCGGACCAGCCACTACCCCTATGCGGAGGAGGTGATGCAGCTCTGTGACCAGTATGGGG